ACTTAATATTAAGCTTGTTGTGGTATTTTTTATTTTTTTTAATTTTCTTAGCAATACTTTTGTATTGTCATACCGATTTCTTTCAACAATATTCTGTTTATCTTTTTATCTATTTTCTTTGTGTTTCTTTACCAGATCAAGATTTTACGACAAAGCAGAAAAAGAAAACATTTAAAGAAATGTCAATAATAACGTCAGTTTAATCTGAAAGTAATACTCTAAATTAGATCTGCCTGTCAAAGTTTCTCGTTACATGTATAAATGTAAATATCACGCTAAAAATGTACGATTATAATGTCTAAATTAAAGTTGCCTATCCTATTGACAAACTTACATTGTCACAATCAATGTATTCAATTTATTTTACTTGTCTTCATGTTTCGTCAATCAAAATAGAAACAAATTTAATTTTAGATTTTCTATAATAATGATGTTTCAAAGATATCAATTTACCAGTTTCGTTCATTAAGTTAAAATAACATATTTACGGATGCTATTTTAATGTCTTTATCAATAACATTGGAATGATATTAATGAATATAGATGTATGTTACGACTATATGCTTTACAAAATTTAATGTGTTACAAGTTTGATCAAAAATACAAAGTTACATTTAAACGTTTTAATTGTCAAATTAGTCTTTTGAAATGATAAATAAATCATTTAGAAACATGATGTTGCTAATGAGCCATCGGATCAGTTTAGTCATTGCACAGCATGACGTATCTTTAAGTGGCAGGCATGGCTGAGCGAGAACTGGACACTAATTGCTCAGTACTGGATGGTTCCAGAAATAGATTTGAGGGTGTGTCTATAAGCTTCTTAAAAGTAAAAACCAAATGACACAGTAAGCGGCTTCAGGTTGATATTAACAAAATTAATTAGATGTATAATTTCGTCATGACATTTTATTTAGAAAGAAGTATGAATGCTAGTTTGTCAGTAAACATTTTTTAATGAAACAAATGTCTCAAAATAATATCCAAGATAATTCATTGATAAAGATGTGTAAATCATGACAATATTTCAAACCTCACATTCAATAGAAGTACTTATGTTACTTAGTTCTTGTAAGATGAAAAAACATAATTATGCTTGTTGATATATTATTATAATAATAAAAACCCTTTTCTTATCAAATGTAAATGACGCAATCCTTGAGCATTTGAAACCTCTTCTAAGAGCTTAACAGAGGTATATATTTTTCCAGAAATAATCATAATATGTATCATTATTACAAGTTGTTAGTGAAATATGTTTTAAAATTTCTAAACTGTTTATTTCATTTTTCCTTCTCTAACGCCACAAGTGTTTTAACTGAAAAATCAAATGACTTTTTGGCTGAATTTTGTTTTATTAAAAGTCTAGATTTGTTCCTTACTGTTTCGAAAAAATGAGAATGATATCAAAATGACCATTTAAACCCTTAAAAGTAATAACACTTTTATTGGGCAAATTAAAGTATTTAAGTTATATTAGCTATTACATTTTGGCATTAAATTTCGGACTATTTCAAATGTCGACAAATAAAGCAATTCATTCTACGATGCATTTATTTATCAATTGATGAACAATGTATTTGGTCATGAAGGAAATACTATACTATATTGGAACAAACACATAAATCGTATTTCGTAAATATCAGTCAAAACCATAACAAAAATATATTTCTCTTTCAATTAGCAAAATAATTTGTCAAAATCAACAAACGTCTATTCATATTTTAACTCATGTTATGGTTATGAGAAGTAAAATGTAATATATTATCTTCATAAAAGTGGCTAAGTATTAAAACATATAAGAACCTTAAATAACAAAAAAAAAGCAAGCAAATAAGATTTTAATATTGCAGAATAAATAGTGTAAATCAAACATGCAACCTGCAACTTAGTAGCACCGAGTCTGGATTGTTTATAATTTTTCCGTTTTTTTTTCGTTTTTTTTTTTCGGGGGGGGGGTATTTGGGGTTCCGTTTTCTTTATTTTATTTTTTTTCCAGATTTTCTTCAATTAAGCATAAATTATAATAGTAGAATATCAGCGTTGAATATTTCTTTCAGATAAACATTTAGATAATAATTAAAAAAAGTTATAAATTTACACGTTAAGTAACTTATCCCTCTGAAAGACATCACTTCTATTAAAGAAACATTTGAGAACTATTGATCCATGCTGTCTCAACAATCAGATGTAGCAGCCAATTTAGAAATGAATAGAGAATGATATTCCAAGTCATGGTGAAAATCTGTCATGAATACAATAAAATGTGTAAATGTTGAGTCAAAATATAACTTTATATCTTGCCATGATTGTATTCAATTTAATATTTTACTATTAAAAATCCACGTGAAACTCGGACTTTTCTCAAAGTATCGTTCGGAATGTACATGTATCGGTAACATCCCATTTTCAAAAAATATTGGTGCTTTTTATAATTTTGGTAGTTTCTATATAGTATTCTAAACATTTTTTTCATTATCAATTATCAATTATTATATCATTTTTTGCTCATTCCCACATTATAATAGCCAATGTATTGAAATTGAAATATATTTCTTGTTCAACAAAGTTTAAGAGTGTAAAAAATAAGCACTTTGTCACTTTAATTATCAATACCTGCTTTTATAAAAACGTTTCATAATAAATAAAATATTTAAACAATCGTCACGATTGCTGAAAGTTTGATATACAGATATATATTAGTTTAAAATACATTCAAAATTTGCTTACTATCTATTAAGAGAATTAATCCATGTTTAAAAAATCAATCTACTAATGGTTTGGACCGAAACAAAACGTAAAGTCCCTGTACAGTTTTTTAAGAATACAATGATAAGATTATTGATACAAAAACCTGAGTTATAAGTATTGATTTAAAGATTGAATAAAAACCCAAGACTGATGAATATTATCTCAACTCCATACTGCTGAAAAAATGAAAGCAATAATTGGGTCAAACTTTCTACATTTTCGGTGGATGTTACTAAATTTAGTGCTCAAGACTGGCTATGCTGTTTCATTGTAGCGTGAAGTTGGACAATTCTGTTGTTTATCATGAACCATAGAATCAAACTGACTCATTTACAGGGTGGAAATTCTTTTGGCATTGTGCTGATATCTTACCTTCTTTAGACAAGTCTTATTTCTGATATTTAATTTGTTGCACAAACAGTTTAAAATGTAATTATAAAGCTTTAACTATATCATGACATGACAATTCAATACAATTTTCAGGTTTTGTGTGTGATACTTTATTAATTGTGATATAGATATCCGTCTTGAAATATAGATGACATTCTACTTGGCAATCCTTTATGTGGGCGTTTAGATATATTGTTTTATATTATTTTCAATTTTCTGAAAATTCAAAGAGGACTGAAATAAAGAATAAAAATAGTTGTTATTATCTGCTGATATCAGGAATTTGCTTCATTTAGTTGAAATCTTAAATATATTTGTTAGCGGAATTTGTGTTCCAATATCTTCAAACAATGACTCTAACTCCATTCAAAAATTAATGCATATTATAAGAGAAAATTCATGGAACATGCGATCAATAATTTTATTGACCTTATTCTATTTCTAAACTGTTTATAAAGCATCGGGAATAAAGTGCACTTCGATATATTTTACATCTATGTTTCACTCTCCTATGTTTTTATCTCTTTTATTCTTTAGTTTATACTAAAAAAAATGTTAATTGCCAAGTCCAAGCTACAAACACCATACTTAAAACAAATGGAACACTTTTGCTACAACTTTATTGTTGCTTGGAGCGGAATCAATGAGTTCTTCATCTCCATGTATTAGTTTGGACAAAAGTTCAGGTGATTTAGATAATGGCTTTAGTCAAACACGTGTAACATTTACCATAATATGTATTCAAGTACCGCTCGTGTTAGTCCCATAGCTTTCAAATGAGTTTACTGTTACTTTTTATAGGCAATCCAATAGCATCATGTACTTTTAAATAACTTTTGTACAGAGCTATCAAATACCATTTAATAAAAGCAAAGAGAGTGGTTGTAATTAAACATGTATCATATTTCTTTGTCATGTCCATTACTATCGTAATAAAAATATCAAATAAAAATATAAAAGAAGTACGTCAAATTGGACGATGCTTGATGTAAAAAAATATTATATGACAAATGTATATACATATATATATATTAGATTTCAAGTAAAGCATCACACAATTCTGTCTGTAAAAAGTTTTTCTTTAATTAACGGGATATTACTTGTTTCTATGAACCTATCCGTTTGAGCCGGTACAATAACTGGGGATACTAAACAATCGGAAATTTTTTATAATAAATCACAAACTACCAAATCAATTTTATTTTTAAATAAAAAATGCAAACAATTGGGAAATAATCCATAACTACGATCAAAGAATATTACTAACCATATATTTTATTTAAACGTTTGAAAAACTAATTTTATTTCGAAATGTTAAAGCTGTCGACTGATCAGTGAGAAAATGATATTCATGAATTCAAAAATTTCTCAAGTTAATGACTATTTATCAAAACAGTTTGCACTTTATTATGGTGTTACATGTAAAACGATAAAGATATGCCTTATATTCAACGCTTTATCGTTTTACATACAAATTTCTGCATGGAATTTTATTTTCAAACTCCGGCATAATTAACAATAAGTACCCCTCTAAAACATGTTTACACTAATTTTACCATATGAATATGGTCTTAAAAATTTCAAAGATAACTATCACGCAAATAACAGTTAAAAGATATTCAAAAGGCTTATAAAATTTCAAAGATTACTACAAGTTTCCACGCTTTTAGAAATTTTTTTTGTTGGAACTTATCACGTAAATGAATAAAAAGATTAGCTTTAGGTAAAAAATAAAATAGCCTAATGAATAGTTAAGAGAAAACTATATAATACGTAAACTACATTTATTTGTGTACTGTGCATATAATTATGAACTGTATTGTTTCCTTATTCATGTATTAAATCTAATATCGTTTCAGAGGTGATCCTGCCCTACACCTCGTATCCATCTCCAGTTATTGTATACCCAGAATTATCACTTTCAAAACGACAAGACACTCGCAATGTTAACGGTAAGTTCAATATCACAACTTCACAATAGTCATATATTACATTTGAATGTGTTGCATCAAAAATATGTATTTTTTTTTAATTTAACTATATTCTTTTACTATATTCATATTCACTTACGAGGTATAGATTATTATCAGTCATACATACAAATCTCTGAAACAGTTCATATTTATAAGGCTGTATCATTTTTAAGAAACTGCCATTTCTACGTCTGGTGCAACGTTTTTGAAAGAAAACTGAGAAAAATAATAACTTAAAAAATAAGATGAAATTTGTAGGTATCTCTTAGACGTTTAAAATTTATTTTTATTCAGTTTGATCAAAACATTTACATTAAGATTATTATACATCTTTATCTTTTTATCTATGTACTCATTTATTTTTTCAGTGAACAAAAGAGCAACACTTAATCAACTTTTAAGACGCCTTATTGCCTTATATGGAAACAATGACATAGCATTCTCTGGCAGATCATCTCATGTGCGATTTGGCGCAGGAGGCCGATGACACCATTCGTTGCTAAGCACTGCAACACATTTTAGAATGTGATATCAAAAGCACGCCTTTCGAACATGATCAAGTTCTTGTGAGCAAAAAGAATATTATTTCTTTACATTTCTGTTTCATAGTGACAGACATGATGAGAGTATGTGCTCGTATTAAGTTAGGTTATACGTACATCACAGAAATTTGTTTTAAAAGTGTAAAATTAAGTACTTAAAGTCATAAAACTGTATCTTTTATCAACTACAGGGACACTCTCCATTTCTATCTAATCCTAATCTTGTTCATTCTAAAGTATTTGTATCGTGCAAAGCTCTTTGTAAGTATTGAGATGTAAATGTTGATATTTTATTGTTTTGAAATGTTTGAATAAAAATGTAGAGTCAAAGAGAAAGTCACCACATCGTGTTGTCTTTATTTTGTCTTTAAATTTAGGGGTTAAACAGAAAGAACTAATAAGACCCCGCTAAAATAGGACATCAAAAAGGGCCATTCTGGTTTGAATAAGATATATTGTGTTCAATTTTATTAATGTATTAACAGATTATGTTTACAAAACATGATAAGACTGAACACAAATAAAGTTTGATAAATTGTATTATTTCTCAAAACAATTTTGATGACACAGAAGTAAGATATAAAAAATATAATTCACATTATTCAAACAATAAATATGCAAATTACTTTCAATCAAACCAAGTTTGCAATTTTCATGTTGTTGTTTTCAATGCTCATGTGAGATTTTCCCCTATTTCAGATTTTTATATGCATAATCATCGTATGCCATTTAAACTCCTTCTATTGTATTCAAAATACGATATATTTTTTCAAACGAAGAAGCATCCGTATACTTTTAGTGAAGCCAAATCTTCAAAGACATAAAAGAAATTCTCTTAAGACCTATCATGAGAAAACAGTTTTTAAAAGACAGATTACCGGAGAGGAAACAGGACTAAAATATGTATGCACTTGGTTTTTTAAATTGCCACTGTTCATAATTGACAATATAAAAACTTATATGCAGATAGATGATGAAGTTTGGTTACGAACATAAAAGAGAAAAGTATTCCGAATGTATTTTCATATTTTCTGGGGCCAGAGAGTCACGTCAGAATAGTATAATTTTTTATTATATATTTTATATAGATATGTAACATTTAAAGATTTTGTCCATATTCTATGCCTAAGTTTTGTCTTGCGGGTATAGAGAGAACACATACAGAAACATAATTGTGACATTAGTAATACCTTTGCTCTTTACCAAAGCGACTTAATACTCGCGAAATTTGCAGTCACTATGTTTACGTGAAAGTTTGTTTTCGTGCAAAAACAATCCTTATGAAAAACGCGAACTATTGTTCCGCAAAGTTTCTAGGAATACAGTATTTCAGGTAGATTTTAAACATAATCATAAAGAACACGCGACGTCAATATAAAGTAACAGAAATTTTAATTGTGAATTGTCAGGAAATACATATCGTTTGGGCGGCGACAAACAATGTTCAAACATTTTTATAGCGACCTTTCCCTTCTAGTTTAGTCTCTGAGTTCAAATGGACAGTAACTGGATTTTTTCCAACTCAATGTTATATATAAAGTGGACCTCTTAAATAAGCTTAAGGTTGGCCTTGATCTAAGTGTTCTTCGAAGAGAGTTGGAAGTGGGTATTAAGGAGGCTGCATATATATTTTGTTCATCCATATATCTGAGGTTATATGTAATGTGTTTATAAGGACTGGGGAAGATAAAAAGATTATATATGATTAATGTTACGACATAAAAAAAGATTCATGATTATTTTTCCTGTTTTTTTTTTTTAAATTATTCCCACCCAAGTACGTTTACTTTTGCTGCTTCCTTTTGAACAGATTCTATCTTTATTTCTTCTTCAGTAAGGATCACATACAACTTGAGCATTTTCAAATACGAAACAAAAATACATTCTTTGAAAACATTTTCATTCGTTGGGGATTAATGTTTGTTGATTGCGTAGTTCAGGTCAACCACGAAATTAAGTCCCAAAGAACAAAATGTGCACAAGACTGATAAAGTGGTCTCTATCAGTCAATAGAACTATAAAACGATGGGTGTGGTTCGCAATTGCCTTCATCCTTTGTTGACAAGTTGTGCGCGCAAGCACAGCGTCGTAAACACGTCTTGCTGTGTAGCTAAAGTAATTTGATGGTGCATCATCACAGGCGAAAGGTCGACGTTTTTACACATCTTCATAAAGTGTCTTTACACAACATTTATTTTTACAATTAATAGATGCGCAACAGATATAAATAAAATATAATTGAGAAAATGTAATTCAGAAGACGTACATATATCATCCTATTTGCCTTACAACACTGTAGGTTCGAGCCGCTCTAGTTTCGAATTATTCTTCATGTGAGAAAGCTACCAAGTTAGCTTACGGAATGTCGTTGGTCCCACTCTGGTGCCCGTTTATGTCTGAAATAATGTACAGAGGGTCACCTGAGGTCTTCCTCCTCCAGTTAAGTTCTGGAATATCGCTATATGATCTATAACTTGTTGGGGCGACATAAAACCCAACCACAGAAATAAAATAAGACACCTATGGAAAAAGATCTTTGAAACAGTGCACTATTTATTAAATTGGAGTTAGCATGTTGAATCTTAAATTCGAAGCATTTATATTTATAACCTTTAACAGTTCTGCTTATGTTGAGTACTTTACTGGTTAAAAGAGCTCCGTTTGTCTTAAAACCATAACTGAAATGCTGAAAGTAAATCAACACGGCAAACTGCAATCAACCTAAGCATCAGGAAAAAAGAAGTTGTATTTCATACTAAATATGTTTTGTGATTGTTTTTTGTAGCGTTCAGAAACTGCAAAATGAATTGTTGCGCTATTTAATATCAAGAACATTTTTTCTTTAAAAAAATAGAAACTAACAAATGAGAACATTTTTGAAAAAAAAATCATTTTATAAAAACATGATTGGAACAAACCAACATAACATACTTATTATAGGGTAAAGGACAGCGTGCGTTAAAACATCATATTTTTTAAACTTATTTAACATTGGTTTGAACAGAACATAATTTCTCAACTATGCTTCTTGCATCTGGTTTTAACTCGAAAGTAATGTTTTTAGAAATGACGTTAAATATATGTCATTGATCATTTAGAGCAAATTTAAATGAGACAATCATGTTTTTATACTTCCTTCTGCATGAAATGAAATATTGGAAAATAAGTAAAGGAATAATGGTAGTTCTGATTGTTTTCCTAGTAATGTTTTATAAACACATTCGGTTAAATTTTCTTAAATCTTTACCGCAGCTGTTTTAACGATTGATAATGTCAACTTGAATTTTACATCAGGCAGTGTAGTTTAAAAGTACTGAATAAATTTGAATAGTGTTGCTATTTATGACGCTATGTATGCTTGCAATCGGTACATTGACGCTAAATATAAAATAAAACTACCTACACCCGATGCCAGAAAACTTTATAATTGTTCCTCATGTAATGTAAGGTTAGATGACATCATTTTACAAACTTAAAGTTTTCTCTTTTTTCATTATCTTTTTGTTGTTTTTCTTTTCTTTGTTTTGTCGTTTTTGCAATATTTACTACAATAAAAAGGCATTTCATCTAATTGGGCCCGGGGTATTTTGCCTATGTACATTATTAAGATATATTTCCTGCCAAGATCTAATATCAACGCAAATATATTTTTTTATCAAATCAAAGGCATTAACCCTGAAAACCAATGTCGTTTGTGGATCAAGATCAAAATATTCACACTAAGCACAAGAAGATGTATTAAAATTTCTCCAAGTTTTATTATAACTAGTTCAATGATGTTTTTGAGTTTTTCTCTAGAAACTCAGCAGCAACAATTTTCACAAACTATGTAACTTTTTCCAATAACTGCAATATGTTATGTATGAGAACGTACACTAATCCCATAATGTTAGCCAATCATCCTGACGTACGGAAAGCCTCAAACCAGTACATCTCCCTTATAATATAATATGTTTTGCTGACTGTGTAATTATACTATATTTAAAATGATACATAACGAGTTTTGCTTTTTTATTCGGAAGTTAATTAAAATTTATATAAAAATATTAACCTTACTTTTTTTATTGGAACCAAAATGTGTTAATAGGGACCTGCCGATTTCCATGAAACTTTAAGGTTTTCGACAATTTTAAAATGAGAATGAAAACAATATTCTAAAAAAATCAGCAATCAAATTGTCGGCATTACATGGGAATTACCAATACTGAAATTACAAATTTCGTCCAAGAACTAATAACATTTCAGAAAAAAAAACGCTACGGAACTGAAAATAATGTTTTGCTAATTTTCTTTTTTTTCTCATAACAAGTGCACATAAACTCCCTTTTTAATGGGAACCACAATCAAGATAATATCACATTAAATACTACGTGTTCAATGTGGTATAAACACATCTGACACATCTTTTTTTATAAAATTCCATTGTATTATCCATTCCCGGTATATATAAAGTAAACATTTTACTTTTGAACTAGTGCTAGTGGATTATAGAACATAAGCATTGAGCTGATCAAACAAACCAAACCTTGGTCAGCCCAGTATAATAATATGCTAAAACAGAAGACATTATATATTATGATTACTTCCTTTTTAATGACTTTACGTATATATAAAAATAAAATAAATCATTGCAATGTGTTTTAATAATTGCATTTTCCTGATAAAATAAATCTATATTTTCTGGTCCTTTTGGGCTATTGTTTCCGATGTTTTATCTGTAGCTTGTAAATCTCCCATGAACAGATTCATAAAAATCGAGTCTGTAAATTTCTGTTTGTTTTTGATTTCATTGCTCCCAGGAGCTTTTCCAAAATTATATAACATTCTTGTTAAACAGATCAAAACTATATTAAACCTGAATTTCAATTCATTACCCTTCCCAGCTTGATTATGTTCTTCGCTTACAGCCCACATCTCCTTCAACAAATACAACGATTAAAATATTGAAATTTCAATATGATAGTGTTGGTCAAGCGAAACTACGACTCCCACATTATTTCTGATTTAGGGTACTGAAGGTCAAATCAACGCAGTTTTATTTCTAAGGTTCCTATTAAATATCATTTATATCATATATAATACGTTTTACCGATATGATCATCAATGTATTCGTATGATAAATAAAAGAAATGATGTTAGAAACAGTTAACAGAAATGTTTCACTAATTCCTCTGTAAAAATAATTTTTAGACTACTTTTCTTTAATTAAAGTTATAACAATCTCATTTTTTGATTATTTTAATGTTAATATAAACTAATTGTAAGAAACATTTGAATATAATCAATGTTATTGAACTTTAATTTAAAGATAATTTTTCTTTAAATTTTCACTTTTTGCCA